GCAGAGAGAGAGAGAGACACAGAATCGGAAACAGGCTCCAGGCTCCGAGCCATCAGCCCAGAGCCATCAGCCCAGAGCCTGACGCGGGGCTCGAACTCACGGACCGCAAGATCGTGACCTGGCTGAAGTCGGACGCTTAACCGACTGCGCCACCCAGGCGCCCCAATCCTGACTTTAAAACACAAAACCAGGGGCGCCTGGGTGGCTTAGTCACTTAAGCAACTGACTTGGGCTCAGGTCAATGATCTCACAGTTCATGGGTTAGAACCCCGTGTCGGGCTGTGCTGACAGCTCAGAGCCTGGAGCCTGCTTAGGATTCTGGGTCTCCTTCTCTCTCTGCCCCTCCCCCACTTGTGCTCTGTCTAAAAAAAATTTTTTTTAATAATTCAAAACCAGACAATTTAACTAAAGTGCCTAAACTCTCAAACACCACATTCAACGAACTTTCCAAGTTAAATGCTCATAGAAACAAGAAATTCTTAAGTCCAAGAACACTGAAAGTAATCATCCCAAGAAAAGAAAAAGGCCATAATAGCATCAGACACTGCCTTACAAAGGTTCTGTCACTCAAGGTTCTGGAGAGGTACTGGGTTTGCTTTATGTAAAGGTCGATCAGTTGGCCCATGACTGTTCTTCTCTGCCTAGGAAATTATTCATCACTCTGAATCAAACTCAAACATCTCATTCTATAAAGCCTTCCTGTGCTTCCCAATCCATGTACACATTTCTCTGAAGATCAGTGTTTTTTCTCCCCATCAAGTATAACCTTCCAGTCAATCAATAATTTAGAAAATTCCCTTCCTGGGGTGGCTGGGTGGCTCAGCTGATTAAGCAATAGACTTCAACTTCAGCTCAGGCCATGACCTGACAGTTCGTGAGTTCGAGCCCCACATCGGGCTCTCCTGTCAGTGTAGAGCCCACTTAGGATCCGCTGTCCCCGCCGCCCTCTGCACCTCTCCTGCTCACACTCTCTCAAAAATAAACACTTAAAAAGTAATTTTTAAAAAAATTACTTTCCTAAAAGGTCAAGAAATGTGTTTTTATCTATGTATTTCTAGAAGAGCATAGTATCTAATGCCACAAAAGGAACACAAACGTGATGAAAGAATAAAGACAGTAAGACAAACTATATTAAATAAAAAGACAGAAATAGGCTATGGTAGGCTTGACTATGTCAGAGGTAAATGAAATCTTTAAGGATTCCTTCTAGATAGGACCAAAGATTCTGTAATCATCTGTCAGCAGTATTATTTGGTAGAAAACTTACTTATATCTGTCCCTAAAGAGGTCCCTGAGGCCCAAGGTATCATCATCCTGAAAATCTGAGGTCTGTTCTTTAAATATATAAAGGGAAATTTAGTATAGTGTCTTATGTTATCTCACTTTGGTAAAGTGCCTATACATTCAAATAATATTCCCAACTAACAAGACTATGGTATCTTCAGGGATCCTATCTTGAATCCTGTACACGAAATGACCAAAGGAGAACCAACACCATTTCACATTACAAGAGTCAAAGCATTTAGGGATATTGTGAGAACCTGGTCTAGAAGTTCCACTACTTATCATCAAGAGAAGACAAACAGAATGAGTAGGATTATAACATGTTTTAAATGGAAAAGTGACTGGTTGGTGTAAAAAACAAGGGTGGGTGGGAAATAAACCCATCAATGCAATCTATAAAAGAGGGTTAAAAAAAAAAAATGCCACTTTTCCCAGTCAAGAGCTCCTAGGGCGCATTTAAGAGGACAGTGAAAGAAAAATCCTAGCTCTGTCCTTTATCTATTTAAAAAATAGTCACACTGGGACGCCTGGGTAGCTCAGTCGGTTAAACGTCGGCTCAGGTCATGATCCCACAGTTCGTGAGTTCAAGCCCCACATCGGGCTCTGTGCTGAAGCCTACTTCAAATTCTATGTCTCCCTCTGTCTGCCCCTCCACCGCTTGCACTCTGTCTCTAGCACTGTCTCAAAAATAAACAAACATTAAAAAAAATTTTTTTAAAGATAATCACACTACTAGGTATTTACCCAAAGAATATAAAAATATTAACTCAAAGGGATACATGCACCCCTATGTTTACAGCAGCATTATCTACATTAGCCAAATTATGGAAACAGCCCAAGTAACCATAGACCGATGAACGGGGTGGGGGGGGGGGGGGGGGCCCGCAAAGAAACTAAGTGTGTGTGTTTAATATTAGTCATAAAAAAGAATGAAATCCATGGGGCACCTAGGTGGCTCAGTCAGTTGAGCATCTGACTTCAGCTCAGGTCATGATCTAGCAGTTTCGGAGTTCAAGCACCGTGTCGGGCTCTGTGATGACAGCTCCGAGCCTGGAGCCTGCTTCAGATTCTTTGTATCCCCCTCTCTCTGCCACTCCCATGCTCATGCTCTCTCAATAATTAAAAAAAAAGTAAAAAAAAAGGGAATGAAATCTTGCCCATTTCCAACAACATGGATGGCACTAGAGAGTATTTATGCTAAGTGAAGTCAGTCAGATAAAGACAAATACCATATGATTTCACTCATATATGGAATTTAGGAAACAAAAGAGCAAAGGGGGAAAAAAAAAGAGGCAAACCAAGAAATAAGACTCTCAGCTATAGAAAACAAACTTGGGGTGCCTGGGTGGCTCAAGTTGGTTAAGCGTCCGACTTCAGCTCAGGTCATGATCCTGTGTTTCTTGAGTTCGAGCCCCGCATAGGGCTCTGTGTTGTCAGCAGAGGCTGCTTCAGATCCTCTGTTGGCCTCTCTGCCCCTCCCCCACTCTCTGTCTCAAAAAATAAACATTTAAAAGATTTTAAAAAAATAAACCGATGGTTATCAGAAAGGAGGTGGGGGTTGGGGGGACAGGTTACATAGGTGATGAGGATTAAGGAGTGCACTTGTGATGAGCACCAGGTGATGTATGGAACTGTCAAATCACTATATTGTACACCTGAAACTAACATTACACTGTATGGTAACTGGAATTTAAATAAAAGCTTTTAAAAAATTAAAAAAAATAAAAGATAAGGATGGCTACCACCAAAAAAGCAGGAAAGAAGTGCTGACGAGGCTGTGGAGAATTAGACCCTGCACTGTTGTGGTGGGCATGAAAAATGGTATAGTTGCTGTGTGAAACAGTAAAACATTTCCTTCCACAAAACTTGTTAAATACAATTACCATATAACCCAACAATTTTACTTCTGGGAATATACCAAAAAGAATTGAAAGCAGGGTCTTGAAAACATATTTGTACACACATGTTCACAGCAGCATTATTCACAATAGCTAAAACATGGAAACAACCCAAGTGTCCATCAGTGGATGAATGGATAAGCAAAATGTAATATATACATACAATAAAATATTATTCAGCCTTAAAAAGGGAAGGAAAGGGGCACCTGGGTGGCTCAACTGGTTAAGGGTCCGACTCTTGATTCTGGCTCAGGTCATGATCTAAAGGTTCTAAGATTGGGCCCCTAGTCCGTGCTAGGCATGGAACCTGCTTAAGATTCCCTCTACCTCTCCCCCTCTCTCTCTGTCCCTCTACTGCTCCTGCTGGCCTGCATGAAGGCAAGTTTCCCAAATCACTATGTCACATGGAAAGAATGCAAAGTTATCTTAGGGATGACTCAGAACTATAATGGGGATGGGGGAAGATCAGGAAAAAAACAAGGTACCTCTGTAAACTGTAAAACTCTCAAAAATTCACATTGGTGTAATTATAAAAATCATCTCAGTAAAACTCTCTCTCTAGACTAATTATTAGTTCTCAGGAATGGTTGTTTGAAACAGTTTGGGACCTATCAAAATATATTTTATATGCATATATCTGGACTGATCAATAGAGAAGTTATTACTTCCTGAGATAAAAATATTTTTTTAATGTTTATTTATTTTTGAGAGAGTGGGCGAGCATGCAAGCATGCGTGTGGTCGGGGGAGGGGCAGAGAAAGAAGTGGGAAAGAGAATCTGAAACAGACTCCCTGCTGACAGCAGAGAGCCCAACACTGGGCTCAAAACCTGTGAATCGTGATATCAAGACCTGAGCCAAGTCAGGCACTTAACCTGCCCCTATAGTTCTTTTTGCTAAATAATATTCTATTAAATAATAGAACATCTACCAAAAGAGGTAAATCTACTGTACAATTACAAATGACAGTGTAAGACCTGTACATTCCAATAAAATGCCACTATCTTTCCCTTACCTTGAATATTCTTTCATCACATGATGACTATTATCTTACAGACACTTCACTTATTTTTAAAAATCTAAAAATAAGAATAAATACCACAGAAAAGACTTACCATCATGGAAAGCCACTTGCACTAGAAGAGAACAAAACATCCTGCAGCATTTTCCCAGCTGCTGCGAAAAAGTATTTTATCCTTTGATGATAAAAGGAGGTAAACTTATTAGAAGGAGTGTGTCAACAGTTTAAATTTTAAGAATGTCCCCATCTTATGATTATCAGAGATATTAACACTGAGGGGAGAGACCCCTGTATGAACATGAATAACTCTTGCACCATATGTAAAAAATATATGTATTTGCGTCTTCTGGGCTCAAAAAGGAGGAAGTACAGCAGCAAAGAAAAACCTGATGTCCGCATGGGGGGGGTGGGACACCCAAGCGAATAAAAACCAAAAACCCAGACCTGCTCCAGCAAATACATTGGAAGAATAGCTAAATTAAGGACCAAAGGGAGAACTAAAAGACCTAAAATAAACGCCAGAGAACTTAATGTAACAAATTAAACAAACCTCAGTAGTAAGGAGACACCTGGGTGGCTCAGTCAGTTGAGCGCCCTAATCAGGTCATGATCCTGGGGGTCATGGAATGGAGCCCAAGTCTGGCTCTATGCTGAGCGTGGGGCATGCTTAAGATATACTCATTCTCTCCCTCTCCCTCCCTCCTTCTCTCTCTCTCTCTCTCTCTCTCTCTCTCTCCCTCCCTCCCTCCCTCCCTCCCTCTGCCCCTCTTCCCTGCTTGTTCCAGTATGTGCTGCACGCTCACACGTGTGCTCTCTCTTAAAACAAATTTCTAATGTAAATCTCCATACTTAATTTTAAACAGATGTAGTTTAGAAATAAAGGAATGAAAAGGAGGAACTCCACCAGAGAATTAGTCTACACAGAAATGGTGAAGTATCACGCCCCTTTATTCATTCATATTCTGAAGCTACCAGAGAAGTAAAATGTCCTTCATTTGGCATGCACATATTTAAGATAACAGTCAAAGGATGATTTTACTCATCTTCAGTAAAGTTAGCATATAAATTTTAAACAATCCCCTAAAATTCTAGAAAGCAGAGTAGCCTGGATGAAATCTACTTAGCATCTCAATTTGAAAACACAAAAGAGGCTGTAAACAGGTTTAAACCTTTTCTAAAGAATCAATAGCCTGGGGGGGGAGGATATGCTTGGGAACAAAATTACTCCCCAAATTTCAGAGACTTCACACAAGGTTTCTTAAGTGAGGAACTATGCCTTTTGATAGTTGAGGATTCCTGGTCAAAGCAGAAAAGGGAAAAACAAAATAATCAGGAAAGGGGTTTTCACTGCCTCTACAGTTACGCACATAAGTGCTGCTCACATTTCACTGATGAACAGCTCACATGGCCCTTCTGCCTAAGTACAGAAGTTGTGAAAAGAGGGGAGGAAGCACTAGTGTATCAATATAAAAGAAAAAGAAAAGCCAATAAAAACACACTAAAATTAAAAAAAAAAAAGGCTGTCAAGTCAAAGCAGACATTATTTTTAAAAGATACACATAGTGGGGTGCCTGGGTGACTCAGTGAGCTAAGCGTCTGACTCTTGATTTCTACTCAGATCACGATCTCACGGTTCATGGGTTCCAACTCTGTGTCAGGCTTACAGCTGACAGCACAGAGCCTGATTGGGATTCTCAAAATTAATAAATACACCTTAAAAAAAATTATATATGTCAAAGTTCAGGTATTATGCTTCTTTTAGAACTGATGGACTTACACAATATCCAAGGAATGGCTGAAATTATCAGCCAAACGAAATTTGGACAATCTCTAAACAGCCAATTCATAGATAATTCAATGACAATCAATACTCTGCCTTACAGATTTATAAAAGATCCAAATAACTTGGTAGCAAAGACTCTGCTGTTAATACTTAGGAATACACCAGGGTGCCTAGGTGGTTCAGTCAGTTGAGCACCAAACTTCAGCTAAGGTCATGATCTCGTTCGTGGTTCATGGGTTTGAGTCCTGCATCGGTGCAGAGCCTGCTTCTGAGCCCCTGTCCCCCTCTCTCTCTGCACCTCCCCTGCTTGTGTTCTCTCTCAGAAATAAACTTTTAAAAATGAAAGAAAAAAACATTTAGGAATACATAGATACACAGATTTTTCTAAATACCATGCACTTTATCACATCGACAAATACTCCATTGGAGATACCAGTTCTGTACCATAAAGCATGGAAAATAAATTTTCATTTGACAATCTTAAGGGAGAGTACAGTATCAGTTAACCATACAACAAATTCAGTATAATCCCTATGGAACATGATTTTTGACATAACTACACTCTAATAAACCCATGAGATTAAGTTGGTTACAAAACATTCTTAGCTAAACTAACTTATAATGGTTGTTAAACATTAAATCCCTGCCAAATTTGACAATTTTAACTTTATCATAAATAATTCGACTGCTTGAGTCTACTCAAAGTTTGTGGTGCCATCATTTTAAAGTCTATTTGCACTTGAGTGGGCTTCCAAATCACTAAGGAATTCTAGGAGATGCTAAAACATAGTTTACGATTTTGTATTACTCAAAACTGTAATTCAATCTATAAAAAAAAAAAAGTCTTGGTGCACCTGGGTGGCTCACTTGGTGAAGTGACCAACTCTTGATTTCAGCTCACGTCATGATCTCACAGTTTGTAGGTTCAAGCCTCATATCTGGCTCTGCGCTCAGTGCAGAGAGCCTGCTTGGGATTCTCTCTCCCGCTCTCTCTGCCCCTCCCCAGCTTGCACGCTCTCTCTCAAAAATAAATACTTTTAAAAAATAAATTTTTAGAAGTTATAAAGGAAGGAAATTTGAAGTAAATAATTTTGCAAGATTTGAAGCTTCTCCTGGGATTTTTAAGCAAGAGTTTAAACGGCTTCAAGTGGACAGAATTAATAAATTAACTTAGAAGTCAATAGAAGTATACTTTGTGTTGGAGGAAATAGGATTTTTGAAATACAAAATATGTCTGGGAAGCCTCTCTAAAGAGGTCCTATTCAATTCTAGTAACACTTCCACAATTCTCACTTGTACTCTTAGTAAGTGGACCAAAAAACACACACTTTGAGAAACATAGCATGCTAGGAAAACACCACCTTTACAGCCAGAAAGACTCAGATGAGACTTTCTTCCTGCCTTACGTATTTATTTACAAGCTATTTAACCTATGTCAGGTAATCTCTGTAAGACTGTTTCCTGATCAGAGATACCCACTAGGTTCTGAGAATTAAAAGGAAGACTGCATAGGCAAATTCTGTAGCAAGTAACAGAACTCAACAGCATCTTAAAAATCCTTTTCTTTGCTTGCCTCTCTTCCAAGATTTAAAAAAAGGGGGACAGAGGAATCCAGGAGGATGTAAGCCCTCAGAGAAATGTTAACAATGTGCTTGATGCAGTAATGAGCTAAATAAAGAACACGGTTTAGAATCTAAGCCTAATAAATAAAACCTTTTGCATCACCTAACTCCATCTCCTCTTTCTAGCCCAGATAACTCCATTCTTAGGCCTCACATGCTTAATTCCAATACTGCACTCTTCATGACATATCTGAAAGAACCTTCCTCTCTCACTACCCAAATCTTATCCACTGGATAGCTCGCCTATTACTCAAGCTTTCCCTAATAATTATTCACAATGCTATCCTCAATTCCCCTTTTCTCAAATTCCTGTATCACATAAGCTAGCAAAATCATTTTGTTTTTAGCCACAATTCTCCTTAAAGTGGACTGTAAGATCCTTTACATTGAGTATTATAGTAAATTCTTTTATCATTCACAAGGGGAAACTCATTCTCAAAACTCACTAAATACCTATTGATTAAAAAGCCCAAGAATGGATTTACAGGAGAAATCCTTAGGAATGCTTTTGAAGGTACCAAGAGAGGAATTCCTAATTATATCAAATGATCAAAATGTAATATAAAAATGTTGATACAGGGGAAAATGATAGAAATCAACAAATGAAGGGAAGAAACATTAAGAAGCCCATAAGGTATGCAGGACCAACTCTAAAACAAGATAAATAGTATTTTTTAAGTCAGATTAAATATGCTTATTAGCATTTACAGCTAAATTTAAATCTAAAGTTATGCTACATATTCTATCATCTGCAAGGCAGAAAGTAATCCTTTATTACTGCACTTGGGCAAATATATCCACATAACTAACCATTACTCATTGTTCAAAGCTGGACAAAAATTAGACAAAAAAAGCTATGCAGTACTGCTACATAGCTTCCAATATTCTCAAACTCAGGATCCCTGACAATTACTTAACTGCTGAAAAAAACCGTTGAGACAGCCTCTCTCTAGAAGGGAACGTTACAAGATCATCTAGTCAAAAGCAGCTGTTTACCCCGAGATACGCATTAGGCTTGGAGTACAGACCAAATGCCTGAATTTTTAATAAGCACACTCAGTTACTCTAATTCAGTCAGGCATGTGAGAAACAATGATCGATTCCAGTGGTTCTCAACGCTGGCTGCACACTGAAATTCTTTAAGGAGTTCTTCTTTTGGGGCACCTGGGTGGCTCGGTGGGTTGAGCGTCCAACTCTTCGCTCAGGTCATGACTTCGCTCAGGTCATTATCTCAGTCTGTGAAACTAAGCCCTGCTGTGGGCTCCTTGCTGAGAGCTAGGATTCTCTCTTCTCACCCCCTCTCTCTGCCCCTCCACCACTGGCCCACGAGTGCTCGCTCACTCTCGCTCTCTGTCACTCAAAATAAATAAACTTTAGAGATGCCTGGGTGGTTCAGTCTGTTGGACATCAGACTTCGGCTCCGGTCATGATCTCATGGTTCATTAAGTTCGTGAGTTCGAGCCCCACATCAGGCTGTGCTCTCAGTGCAGAACCTGCTTCAGATCCTGTCTCCCTCCTCTCTCTCTGCCCTCCCTTGCCCAAGCTCTCTGTCAAAAATAAAACATTTAAAAAATAAACTTTTTTAAAAAAATGTTTGAAGGGGAACCTGAGTGGCTCAGTTCGTGAAGCCTCCAACTCATGATCTCACGGTTTCTGAGACTGAGCCCTGCATGGGGCTTTGCACTGACAGTGGGGAGGCAGCTTGGGATTTTCTCTCTCCCTCTCTGCCCCTCCCCCACTCTCAAAAACAAACCGTAAGAGAAATGAAAAAACATTAAAAAAATAAAAATCCTTTTTAAAAAATGTTGAACATTTCTGTAATTTAACAAAAAGAAAAAAAATTTTTTAAGTTTATTTATTTTTAGAGAGGAGTGAGCAGGGAAGGGACAGAGAGAGAAGGAAAGAGAGAATCCCAAGCAGGTTCTACACTGCCAACTCAGACAAGAGCGACCAGGGGCTGAAACCCACGAACCCTCAAATCATGACCTGAGCCAAAACCAACAGTCAGACATTTAACTGACTGAGCCACCCAGACACTCCAGACGTTTTTGTTTTAGACGTTAGACTGACCTAGATTAACACACCATTTTTTAAATTTTCATGTTAGTCTGGCTAAACCCATCATCCAATTGGTTTCTAAAGTATTTTTTAATATCTACAATGTTTTGCTGAGAAAAAGGTATGTTGCTAAATGATATATGTATGTTTCCATGAAAAAATGTAATACAGATGTGTACATCCACTCTTTTAGGAAACTTTCCATATTAACATCCATACGATCCAGATTTTTCTTAGTGATGTATCAATGGTGGAATAGGCAGCATTTTTCTTTATTGGTGTTATACAAAGTAATAATGTATGTCAAATCAATAGCATGTTGGGGTCTATAAAATGGAAGTATCTTCCTGTATTTGTACGTGCATGGACACTGGAGCAAAGACAAAATTCTCGAAGTATTCAAACCATTAACAATAACAATAATTACTTCTGGCGGTACAGAGAAGCTGTATCTATTTGACAGGGCTGTACTATTGGACTTTATAACATTTAATTTTAGCTTTTATAATTAAAACAGACATGCGTTTCACATTTTAAGTAACGTTTAAAATATTTAAATACATGAGTTCTTGTAGTGAAAACATTATATGCACTGAGCATTCATGAACTCGTACTGTAAAATGAAAAGCTCCTCTCAGAAAAGGATGGTACAGAAGCCAAAGGCCTCAGGTTTATTTACCTTTTTTTATGATGTTTATTTTTGAGGGAGAGAGAGAGGGCATGCAAGCAAGTGGAGGAGGAGTAAAGAGAGGGAGACACAGAATCCAAGGGAAGCTCCAGGCTCTGAGCAGTCAGCATAGAGCCAGGAGGAGGGGCTCAAACTCATGAACCATGAGATCATGACCTGAGCCAAAGTCGAACACTTAACTGACTGAGCCATGGGCACCCCAGGTTTGTTTACTTAGACCAGTAAATTCCACTCCTCAAAATCTCTCCTAAGCAAATAACCCAAATTACAGAAAATGCTACGTTGAATGTAAGTATTTCATTGCAGTATTACTAGCAATATACTAGCCAAAAACGTTTGTTACTGGATGTTACACAGCCAATAAGAATATTTACAAAATAGTTCGTGATAGAAGAAAAATGTCCATAATACAAAACTGTGCAAAACGAGATAAAAAAGTATATAAAAAACAGGCTCCAGGGGCTCCTGGGTGGCTCAGTCGGTTAAGCGGCCGACTTCGGCTCAGGTCATAATCTCGC